CCCCACTACTGCCTGTGTCCCCTTTCACCCTTCTCCATAAGCCTATCCCTATCTTGTCCCCACCCTATACTGTTACCCAGATGGGCGAGCCAAAGGGTGTCAGGCCAGAGGCCGACAGGCCCCGGGCAGATTCAGAGATGGAAGCCCAGTCCCAGACAGACAGACAGACAGACAGACATGCAGCAGGCACACTGAGACCTGGATAGACCTGAAGACACTGATAGAGAGAGAGAGAGACATGGAGATAGAGACATAAGCAGACTCAGAGCCCCAGAGAAAGCAGATGGACAGTCACGGAGTGGTAGTTACAGAACCTACACTGAGGACAAGCAGGGGATGTTACAGACCCCAGAGACAGCGGTCCTGTGAAGAAGGTGCACTGTGCACAGGCAGAAGCACAGGGACCCTGAGCCGCAGCAGCAGACAGACACCGCAGAGAAACAGAGACTCCGAAGTCCCGAGAGCCTAATAGAGCCGTGGGGCACACAGGGATACGTGCGCTCACAGGAAGCCGGGAGAGGGGGCCGGGCAGGGGCTCTTTTGCTGTCCTGTGGCCAAAGGCCATGTGGAGTGGCCTCAGATGGGATGCCTGGCCGGGCAGAGCTTGACGGGCCAGGGGGCTGTGCAGCTCCAAGAACAGAGAGGATGGGAAACACAGAGGAGCCTGGCTGTGAAGGGGTTAACCCCTGGGCCTGTATCCCACTCAACTCTTTTTATTCTCTACCCACCCCCCCATCAGCTCCCTTTACCCAAAGCCCTGGGTATTCCCCCTACCCCCACTCCTGGTAACCAGACCCTGCTTCCTGCCTGAGATTAAGGGCCTGTCTACTGAGATTCCCCAGGAAGGGGGTGGGGGGACACAGCCTCTCCCCAGGGCCTCCCTGGAGCTCAGCTTGCCTGTCCCTAACCTGGCATGCCCCATCAACACAGAGGTGCTCCAGTGCCGGACATCTTAGCCTTGCTTCAGGAGGGCGAGGAACCCTAGCCTGTGAGGGTGTGGGTGTGTGTGGATCTTGTGTGAGGAGCTGGGGCCTGGGTTAGAGCGGTTAGAGACTAGAGAGAAGAGATGATCCGAGACAGGGAGATAGGATGCCCACCGAGGGAGGGCTGCCATGCAGAAGGACCCAGGCGTGGCCTGGAGCCAAAGGGTAAGGACTGCCCGGCCTTGAGGAATGTGTGGGGTGGGGAAGGGTGAGCCAGCCTGGATGGGAGAACCCAGAGCCCTTGACCTTGAGAGGAGCCCACACTGACCACCTGGTGCTGGGTGTTGGGGACTCGGAACTCCTGCAGCTGTCATGCGGGGAGGGGCTCTACAGGTGCCGGTCACTCCGCTTGCGCCCTCGCTGGCTGTTAATCCAACGGTTCCGGCCATGCTCTCTGAAGGCCTGGCAGTCTGGACCCAGAAGGGGAGGGAGTTCAGGGCGGGTGGGGGTGAGCCAGGCAGGAGTCCAAGGCACTCAGGGAGGCTGGATGCGCGACAAGAGAAGGAGGTGCAGATCACGAGGATTTGTCTAGCGTAACTCCGTGTAGGGTGGGTGTGTGCGCACTTGGGTGATGTACGCGCACAGACTGGTGTGTTCCGAGTCCACACTTAAGGGGCGAATAGACTGAGGGGCTTCAGGACTCCAGCCCCTGAGGTCACCTTGCTAGGAGCTCATGGGGGGAAGGGGCTAAGCCTAATTCATCTCTGTGACCCTAGACTCCCTGGGTCTGGCCCATCCCAGCCCTCAATACACGAGTCTTCAGGAATGGTGGTGCATGGGCCTCGGGGGGGAGAGGGGAGGTCTTATGGAGGCTCCCTTTTGGCCCAAGGCCCTTAGTGGAGGCTGGATTTGAAGGACACTTTGTGGGGACCCATGGATGCCACAGGGAGGAACAGGAAGATGCAGGCAGCTTGGCGGAGAGGAGCAGTTCAGCACGGCCTGTGGCTCTGCTGTGCTTCGGCCTTGCGACAGAACCCCTCCGCCTCCACCCTACCTCACCCCTCCTCCCGGCAGAAGGTCTATGAGCTCCATTTGCCAGCGAAGTTAAGATACTTAACAGGCCACACAGCCAGGGAGGGTTGGAATTGGGGTTGCAAGCAGCCATCCTGTTTCCCTCAGGGACCCACAGGGCCCACAGGTGTCTGCTTCTGTAGACCCCGCTCTCACTGGCTCCACTCCCTCTTCTGCTTTCCCCTCGTGCTTGGCCTGAGACTTTCCCACTGAGTCACGTTCTGGGTTTCTGACTTTGTGGTCCCTGTCCCTCTCCATCTCTAGATTTCTCTTTCAGAAATGCAGCCCAGGCCTCTCATGTGCTCTCTCTCTTTCTTTTTCCTGCCTCCTCCCCAACACGCTGCCCCCATCTCTCTCACTCATCTACCCTCTTACAGCCTCTCGGGCTGTGCCCAGCGGGGTGGAGGGCCAAAATCCTGGGTGCTGGTGCCCCTGTGCTCTGAGTCTCCACGAACAGCCACCCCCTCCCCACCTCCCCCATGTACTTGCTGCTCAGCCTTCCCACACCTTGCAGTATCAGCCCTTTCAAGAGCCTTCTAGGTCCCTGGGGAGCTACGCACTCCACACATTTTAAGGAGAGAAGCCGGGTGGCCGTTAGATTCCGGGGTGAGAAGTCTGTGGTCTGGTCCTCAGACACTAAGCCTTCCCCCACGGAGGAGCGCACAGCAGCAAAGTCAGGCCACACTGCCTTTATGATGGGACGTGACTTGGAGATGGGAGAGCTAAGTGGGAGGGGGCCTGAGAGTGGGATGTGTGGACTCCCTCAAGATCTTCTTTTTTAAATATCCTCACGCAAGTGAGGATATTTTTTCCATTGATTTTTAGAGAGAGTGGAAGGGAAGGGGACAGGGGGGAGAGAGAGAGAGAGAGAGATCGAGGTGAGAGAGACACATTGATTGGTTGCCTCCCACTCATGCCCCAACTGGGGCCAGGGATTGAACCTACAACTAAGGTATGTGCTCTTGACTGGGAATCGAACCTCAGACCCTTTGTTCCATGGGCTGACACTCTAACCACTGAGCAAACTGGCCAGGGCTGGAGTTCTCCTTAAAGGCACAGACTCTGGGGACCTGCCACAGGCCTGGGAATCACCCTCTCTAGAAGCAGGTCTCAGGAATCCACATGTAACAGCTTCATGGCACAGTCTGCAGCCCACAGGTGTGACAGTCAGCATGACATCAGAGGAGCCGTCCTCATTTCGGGTCTTGGTGGAAACTGGCTTGAAAAGCAGCCTTGAATACACAGAGAGGACAACAGGGTGAAGAACACCGGTATCCGGGCTGGTGGTCAGGGGCAATTTTCTGTTTTCCAAACCTTTTCTGGATCACTTTCCTGGGATCATATGACTTTTCCTTTATTCTTATTGTTCTTCCTCGAAAGGGAAAAGCACGTATTCTCTAGGGTAGAGCTGGATCCGGAGACCGGGTTCTTGCCTGGCTCTGCCCAGAATGCAGTGTGTGCGTTTGGTAAATCAGCTTCCCATACTTACTACCTACCTGTCTCATAACTGTGACCTTCCAACTGGACACACATCTGTGCATCTCTGGTCCCTCGCCCCACCCGGGCCAGCCTTCTGGATGCTCAGTGGGTTGATGGGATGAGAGGGGGGCTGGGAGGGGCAGTGATAGGGAAGTAAGGGGATCCCAGGGGGCCTCCTCTCCTGCTCCTCCTTCCCACCGCTCCAGCCCTGGGGCCTGGGAAGAGGTGAGGTGGCAAGAGGAGGAGGAAGTGTCTTCTTCTCACCCGAGCTGGCAGAGGGGCGGGACTGGCAGCGGTGACACCGGGGCCACTCAGCCCCCGCTTTTCACAAGCACTTTCTTTTTTGGGTGGAAGACATTGGAGGGAGGGGGGTGAGCCATCTGTGGTTTATGAGCCAGGTTGTAAGACCCTCTGACAGTCCATCAGGTTATAGGAATACCGTCCCCAGCCACCCTCTCCCTCTGGGGACATGAGACGCCTAATCCCTCCTGTTCAGAGGCAGGGGGAGGGGTCATTTGACCTGAAGATTAGTGTGAGAAAGAGGAGGGGGAGAGCAAGGGAGGAGGACCACACTCCCTTTGGCCTTCCACAGCCCAGCACTTAGCAAAGTTCCCCCCAAAGAGGTGTCGGCGTTCAACAGCCTCGTGTCTCCGGGGGACAGTCATTCAGGGACGTCTTACTGGAATCTCACATGTTTCCCAAAAGGATCCCATGGTCACCCTCTCTTTCGAGCAATGCTGCCCCACTTGGAATAGCAGGCAGAAACTTCCGCCTCCCTTAAAGCATGAGGGAATGATGGGTAAAAGGGTGGGAGGGGGCCTTTCCCCGGTTCTGGTGCCGCCGAGTATCTGGCCTCCTCCCTCAGGGGATGTGTTGATTCTCTCTCCCCCCACCCTCCCTGGGTCATGCCCGCCCCCTGGGGTCCCCAGCTTTGCCTTCGCCTGCCAACCCGCCTCTTGGTTCAGCTCTAGTTGGGAGCAGAGAGTCCCCATGGACGCCTAAGGGTGAAGTCCTGTTGCGCTGGGACAGAGGCTGGAGATGGGGCCAGCCCCCAGGGGAGAACTGAAGAGGGCTGGGGAGGCAGGGAGAGGAAAGGCTCGCCTTTACCAGATGAAAGTATCTTTCAAAACACTCTTTTCACATGTAAATCTTTATCTACATATTGACATGCAAAAAATTCCATGACACCTTGTGGAGTGAAAGAGAAAAACACGTTACAAAGCAGAACGTGTGGTGTTTGTATAAAATTATCTGTTGTTGTGTGTGTGCACGTGCATCCATGCACATGCACACACGTGGGCACGCATGTGCGCGCGCGCACACACACACACACACACACACACACACACACACACAAGACAGGCTGGGTGCAGGGAGTAACGCCTGGAAGGGTGGCCACGGGAAAGTGAATCCTAAATTGGGAGGATTTCTACAGTCCTGATTTTACTTTTACTGCCTAAGTTTTCTAGATGAGTATGTTTTATCGTTATGTACAGGAAAACTCCCAGCGATGCTATTTTCAATTGGGGGAAAAGGAGAGTTTTCATCATAAAAGGAATATTACTCCATGAGTCAGCAGAAAAGGAAAACTAGAGAAAGGAAAGCCGTGGTCCTCGCACCTGACAGCCCTTCAGAACATGGGGCAGGTTTCCTTCCTGTCAGCGGCTTCCGAATCTGTTCAAAGAGCTTTCCCATCGAGGCGTAATGAGAGATTGGAAGGTGCTGCAGGGGTACCCCTGCTCAGGTAAGGCTCACAGCCCCTCTGAAAAGCAGATCCATCCCCATCACTGAGGCACCGAGGCTGACTGTCAGGCAAGGGAAGTGACTTGCCCAGGTCGCACACACCTGAGTGACAGGCACGGAGCCAGTCCTGAGACTCGGAGAGTGCCCTGCTAGTGCCCCTGGGGCCGGGCCCAGTGAGGGAGCTTTTGTGGGCCCAGCCTGGCCCAGGGCCTGCAAGCCAGAGGCTGTGGCCAGATGTATTTATTCCCCAAGGAACCAGGTTCCAGGTCCGCCCTGGGCCTAGAGCCGTGGTCGGCAAACTGCGGCTCGTGAGCCACAGGCGGCTCTTTGGCCCCTTGAGTGTGGCTCTTCCTAAGCCTTAGGAGTACCCTAATTAAGTTAGTAACAATGTACCTACCTATATAGTTTAAGTTTAAAAAATTT